ACAGTATGGTAACCCCAAAACCAAAGGAGCAAAGAGATAGTTTAGAAACATCTATTTTAAGATTTTACTCTGCTTTTTTCCTTGTTATTAAAATTCTCTAAACCTGAAATCACATCATTAATTAATTCTCAAGCAAAAATATTAAAGAATGTGGCACACACCTGTCGTGAATATTCACTATACCGTTATCTGAGGATCTAACAACTGGGGTCAATCACCGAGTAGGAAATGACTTGACAGCAACATCATCAACAAAAAGCAAGAGCTGGGATGGTTTAGAAACACTCTCAGAGACTCTTCATAAGAGATGCACAGCTCCCTGGCTTCATACCATCCCCAAATACCAGATGCCAGGTAGATCATCTAAAGTCCAAAGCTCATACAGTCCAGATAAAATCCCATCCCAAGTCAAACTGACATAAAGAAATGGTCTGTGCAACAAGGCTGTTTGCTTCTAGAAGGTCCAAGCCTCCAAACCAGTGTCCTTCTGACCTCTAGCTTTTGTCATTAACAATAAAGCCTATATGCTGTTTACATTACACTGGGGGACTGGAGAAATAGTAGTGGTTTGGCGGGGGGAGAGGGAAGGAATATTGCTAATACTTACCCATCATATACTAAGTGCCAGACATCATAGGTACGTATTTCAGAAGTTGGCTTTGCATACTTCACTTTTATGAAAGAACTATATTAGTATCTGTTTTTGCCAACCAAAAGAAATGTGGATTTTTGTGGGTTTTGGTTTTTTTTTTCTTCAGAAAAACAGCCAAAAAGCAAAATAGAGTTCAGTGTTTGTTTTGCATCAAGTGGATAGCATGCATCCCAAGCGGTCAGAGTGGAGTTCCCAAGCTTGTGCCCTGAGAATGACTATTATTCTTAACTTACATAGCTATGTATTATATCACTTCATTTCTGCTTTTAGTCTGTTAGTTTAATTTGGTAGGTTATTTCTCATGTTTGTGAGTGCTCAAAATTTTTCCATATAAATTAATGGTAACTGCTTTTTCACTTTACATCATTTCGGTTTAAAAAAGGTTTCATAGGGACACTCAGGCTTCAGATAGTGGGAGAAAGCCTGTATTCCCATTTTAGAGACAAGGCCCTGAAGTACACTAAAGGGCCATTATGAACAGGAAAGGAAAAACAAGAGATCAGAGATCAGAATCTAGGCCTGAATAGACCAATTTTGCTCCAAGGATAGTCTTTCTGGAGTAAAACCACTTTAACATCTCCCAATCCACCCTCTGACTTCCTTGTTTCATTTCATTCAAGAAACAAGCCTCTCAAATTGAGACTAAAAGATGAAACCTAAAATTCCTCCAAGAGGTAGAAGAAAGAACACAGAACATTTAAGAGGCGGAGGAGGAAGGGGAAAGGGGTTGTAAACAGAGACAGGTGTATATATGTACAAGTTAATCTGCATATTAACATGCTGTCTTTCCTATAACAGTCTACAAACACCTCAATTAACAGAAAAAGACTGAGCAAATAAAGACACCTTGGTTAGAAATGTGATTTCCAGTGCAACAATGAATAAATGGAAATCCAAAGTCTCTGTAAATTTTCATTGAAATTAAGAATAATTTTTTTTAAAACAACAAAAAGAACTGTGATTTCTGTATTATTTGCCATCCTGATAAAACTCTTAATTAGTAAATCAAGGAGGATGAAATGGACACATCTTTGACACAGTTTTAAGATGCTATTAACTAAAGAGGAAAAGACAGGACCACCATTTTTGCTGACCCATGGGGTTTTAAGGCACTTCTGAAGAACAGCTCAGCAACCTCTGCTGTAAAACCTCAGACTCTGGATGTTTAGGCATTTACAAACTTGTTGCTGAGTTAGCAGCACTCCCTTGGGGTTCTTAGAGAATAAGCAAACACAAACTTAAGTCTCCACAAATGTTCCTTTGTGCCCTAAGATGGAGGCTAAACCCCCACCAAAACAGACACATAAATTTCAACTGTCAATGTACAAGCAAAAAGAGACAAGCGCATGTGCCCGCATACACCCACCCACCCACCCAAGTTAAGGAAGAAAATTCCTACAGACTAATTTCTAAGGTAAGCTTTTCAAATTGAGAGCTTAGCCAGAGCCAGAAGAAGCCTGTTGCCATCCTAATTCTTAGGGAGGATCAGAGCCTCAAGAGAATGCTTGACAGAGAACTAACAGATTGTTCCACATGTGATAAAAGGTAAGATGATGATGATGATCATCATCATCATCCCTTCCCCGCCAGAAAGGGGCATCAGGCCTCACAGAAAACAAAAATATCCCAACTGCCCAAAAGCTCCCATGGGGCTCTTCAGAGCATGCTCTAGAAGAGATTGCCTCTACTCTCATTTCATATTGGGAGCGGGCCCTGTTTGATGTTACACACAACCCTGCGTCTGCTGTACCAAGAGGCCATTTCATCCATCTGTCTGGGAAGATGATCCAATTTTGGTCCTTTTATCATCAATGCTTTCAGCAACTTTGTTCCACTTCCCCTACTGTAATTACTTTTGAATCATCAACCCACCCAAACAGTCTTAAAGCTCAGAGAACAGAAGGCTAAGATTTGCAATGGCAAAGAACTTCACTAAAAAGTCACCCAAACTAGGAGCAATGTGTCTTCCCCAGAAATTTACTTATTAATATAATGCCTCACACTTCTTTCCAATTTTCTAAAGGAAGGCAGGGCAAGGGAGATGGGATGCAGTGGGGTGGGTTGACAGATAAGGAATTCTTAAGATGGACAGTTAAAACGTAGGCTTTTTGGTAAATTATGAGGGTCTCAGAAAATTGGCTGGAAAGTTGCTGGATGCCCAAAGAGTCTAGAAAGAATTTCCTAGTCTGGAAATGCAATACAATTAAATAGGGAGAGAAAGTGCTTACTGGGGTTTGAGAACTGTGATTCCTCTAAGAAATGGTTAAGTTTGAAGATCAAATCACAAAAATGAAAAATTTAAAAAACTCCTAACAGCACCAGCAACCTAGCGTTGCTTTGCTTTCAGCTGTACATATTCTGCTCCCAGCCCTCTCTCCTGGTGGTGAAACTCCCAGCTCTGATTTGTAAGCCTCCCTTTGGCAGTCCAGTTAGACCTGACTTCTGGCATCAGAATAGACGACCTGAGTTGTTTTTCCCTGCTTCTGGTCACCACCCACTCCCCTTTTAAAATCCTTTCACATTCAAATGTCCCCAACTCTTGCTCACTTTTAGGATCCTTTCCTGGTTTGGGAACCAGTGGAACAGCACACAGCCAGCCTTCCATCTCCAGTCTTCAGGAGACCAGAGCAGCCAGTGAGGTTGCTGCCTGGGTCACAGAGCCAGTTAGTGATGCAGCCAGGAATAAAGAGACCAGGCTAAAGTGGAGGTTAGAGAAGCAGGAGTTCTGAGCTAGAGGGGCTAGGTTCTGAGCTGGCAAGACTCAATACTTCCTTAGGGCAAGCTTACTTTAAAAAAAAAGATGGACCAATGAAGCCCAGAACATACAGCATCACTCACTCCCATTTTACTAAGAGTACTGAGGAATGGCTCACACCATCAACCAGTTTCGGTGCCCCTACTCAAGTGAGGGTTTCTTGTCATCATAAAACCTTGGAATAAGTGACCCGTAGACGACTCAGACGCTGCCACTGGGATGGACACTTAAGTCCTGCAGCTGCTCTCTAGCAGGTTCTAGGCCTTCAGCACCTTCAACTGTACCAACGGCCCTTCAAACTGCGTGCGTGTGGCAGAATTTGAGGAGGTGGTTGGGGACACAGAGACTCTCCGGATTTGGCCACATAAACGTGCTCTTTTTCCAGCCTCAAGGCCAGGTGGCCCCAGTGGGGGGAATTCTTCAGGGGAAAAAAAAAAAACCAACACAAAAACAAAAACAAACGACGCTAGTCTCTACTTCCCGTGGAAATTCTGCCCGTTATTTCGGACACATTCCTCAAGGCCAGAAGGAGAACGCGGGGGAGGGGAGAGAAGAGTTTTGGGGCCTTTACTGGGAACAAACTAAGATAGATTACCACCCAGCAGCCCTAGACTTTCCCTGGCCCTCGGAGAGGCCCTGGCGCCATCCCGCTTCTGGTGCCCAAGCCCACCCCCAGAAGACCCGCTTTCTCCCTTGCGTCTCTTCCACCTGACCCTCAAGAAGGCGGTGTTGTGTATGTCGGACCGCTGCCCACAGAGAACTCGCACTTTTTCGCTGCGCGATTCAGAAACAACGAGTCTGATGCCATCCGGCGAATTATGTAACCAGGGACACCGCTCCCGGGCTAAACAAACGCGGCTCTGTGTGCAGCGGCGGCCCCGGGGGAGCGCGCTGGGGCTGGGAGGGGCTCCGGCCGGGCCTCGGTGTCCGGCTGGTCTGCCTGGCAAGACTGGCCTGGGGCAGTCCGCCGAAGGCCCCGGGCCCAACGCAGATCCGAGCTGGCCAAGTCCCGCGCGTCCAGGGCCCGGCCCCTCCCCCACCCTGCCGCCCCCGCCTCCAGACGGTGAACTTGGTCCCAAGTCCCGCTGGACGCCGTCACTGCCCGCCACCAGAGCAACCTCGGGCTGGGGGACTTGGCAAATACTACGTTATGGTCCCAGCTCCGCTCTAGCTCTGCGGACTTCTCCGTCCCCCTCCCCACCTCTCTCCTGGTGGTCCTAAAGCAGCAGAGCGCTGAGGCGCTGGAAAGTGACGACCCCACTCCCCCAACTCAGGAAGGGCCGGACACCAGTGGGATCCGGCTTCGCGCGCTACCCCTGCGTCTCGCGGCCCAGGGGGGAGGGGTGCAGTATGCGGTGACAGCTGCGCGGACACCGCCCCTCCCCCTCGTGCGTCCTGGGCCCGGGGCCGTGCAGCCCCCACAGGGGTCTCACCGCCGACCCGGACGCGAGGGAGGATAAATGAGGGCGTCGGGTCGGAATCACCAGGACTTCTCGCTCTGAGCAGCCCAGAAACCGGGACCAGGGATCAGGCCGGTGCTAGCCCCCTCCCCGCCGGGGGCGACGCAAAGTTTTGGGAAGTTGCTGCCCCTACCTTGCTTGGTGAGCACCACGGCGTCTTCCCTCCGCGCCTGGGTGATGATGGAGCCGTGTTCCATCTAACAATCCCGCGGGCCCGGGCTGGCTGGGCGGGAGGACCGGCGGGCGCGCACGCTGGGCTGGGCTGGGGGGCCTGGGCGGGGGCCGGCTCCGGCTCCCGAGACTCCGACTCCCACAGCTATTCACATCCCCCCTCTCGTTCCCTCCCGGGGCCGGGAAGGGAGGCGGCCTGTATGGAGGGCGGGCGGCCGGGGCAGCGGCTCCCCCGGGTGCCCCCAGCCCCGATCCCCCGGCGGCAGCTCCGGGCTCCTCAGTTTGGGTCCAACATGGAGAATCCGGAGCGAAAACAAGAGGAGGAAATGGGACACGGGGCAGTTTCCAGGCTCCCCCCTCCCCTCCGTACTCCAGATAAACAACCCGCGGCTGCAGCGCCCACCCCCGCGCGTTTGCCCGCTCTAGGCTGGGCCTCTCCACGGCCCGCTGACGCTTCCTGCTCCAAGGCAGCGTCCTAAGGCCTGGGTCCCTCCACCTGTGAATGGCTGGGGCTGCCGACCATCCGGAGCTTAGCTATTTTGATACGGAAAAAGCGAATCCCCGAGGGGGGTGGGGTGGCGGGCGGGCTGGCTGGGGAGACTTGAAACTGCTCAGGTTCCCCGATTGGTGTACTTGGAGAAAGGGGGCGTGGCCTCTCCTTACTATGCGTTACAAGGATCCAACAACATTCCAGTCGCCGCTGCCACGCCTTCAGGACACGCCCCTCTCGCTGAACTGCATCCGCCCCTTTCGTCGGCCACACCTCCTTCCCAACTACTTAAAAGGCCACTCGAAAGCTCACATTTCCGTGCTTAGTCGCCCGCTATCTGTGCTTTGTTGTTAATTCTTGTCTTAGACAGAAAGGTTTTTCTTTCTTTCTTTCTTTTTTTTTTAAAGAAAGGTTTTTCTGGTAATCGGGTCGAGCCGAGAAGTCTAACCTGGGTCTATCTTGACTGGGAAGAATTGAGCCAGTTTTCTTACTGTCTGTTTGATCCTCGAGTCGGAGAGCCACAGTTCCACATAATAGGGTCCAACTATCAAATCGAGGGTGTAGGGTGGCCCTAGAATGTCAGTCAGTTCCTGGACTTGCTCAGGAGATGGTCTTACCATACACTTTATCTGAGGGGACCTGAAGTGCTGTGCTTTGCTCAAAGCCACTTGGTGCTGAAACTTGGTCTCACATACTTTGGTTATGCTGTTAGGAGAGACTGTTGTGTACCTTCGAGTTGGAACTGACCCATAGTTGACCCTCCGGCGGATTTTCAGAGGCAGTTAATCACACGGGAGGAGATTGCCCATTCTCGGGTAGAACAGCTGGTGGACTCGAACTGCGTGCCTTCAGGATTGCAGCACAGCATCTTGCCACTAGGCCATCAGTGCTCTCTAGTCCTTGGAAAAAGACATCATGCTTGGAAAGGTCAGCGAAAGAGGGGAAGGACTTTCAACAAGAAGGATGGACACAGTGACTGTTACATTGTGTTCAAGTATATCAGAGATGATCAGAGATGATGAGGATGGAACAGGATAGGCCAAAGCCGTATCTGTTCCCGAAGTTGGTATGAGTCATAATTGATTTGACTGCACCTAACACCACTACCATGCAGTGTTTCCTTGCTCTGTTCAGACAACAGCGTCTTGGTCTAGGTATAGATTTCATATAAACATAATTAAATGTTCTGAAATTTCCTTTCTTCTCAAGATTAGCCATAGTTTGTTATGCTCCTCACAGTTAAATGCCTTTGCATAGTTAATAAAACATAACCTTTTTCCTGGTATTCTCTTTCAGCCAAGATCTATCTGACATCAGCAGTAGTATCCCTGGTGCCATGTCTCTTCTAAACTCAGCTTGAATTTCTGGCCTTTTTTGGATATCTTCAACTATATTTGCTTGCATGTGATATTAATGATATTGTTTGATAATTTCACATTAAATTGGGAATGGGAACAAATATGGATATCTTCAATCAGTTGGCAAGGTAGCTATCTTCCAAATTTCTTGGTATAGACTGGTGAGCATGTCCAGGGCTGCATCTGTTACTTGGAACATGCCAATTGATATCCCATTGATTTCTGGGGACTAATTATTTTTTTTTTCAGTGTCTTCAATATAGCTTGGACTTCTTATTTCATCACAATTGCTTTTTATCATATCCTACTTGTTGAAAGTGCCAGCAATGCTTTTTTGAGGGAGTACAGTGACTCCAGTATTCCCTCCACCTTTTGATGCCTCCTGCCTGGATCATTCAAGATTTTTCCCGTAGTGTGTCTCAGTATTATAATTCAAGACCTCAATTTGTTTTTCATTCCTTTGAGTTAGAGAAATCCTAAATGAGTTCTTTCTTATTCTCACAACTCCAACTCTTTGCATATTCCATTATAATACTTTGCCTTGTCTTCTTGAGCTGCCCTTTGAAATCTTCTGCTCATCTCTTTTAATTCTGCATATCTTCTTTTTGTTTTGGTTTCTCGATGTACTAGTTGAATTTTCAGAGCCTTTCCTGACATCCATTTTGATCTTTTCTTTCTCCTCTGTCCCTGTAATGACCTTTTGCTCTTCATGAATGGGGTTTTAAATGTCATACCACACTTTGTCTTGGCTTCAGTCCTTAGTGTTCAATGCCGCTGACCTGTTCTTGAGATTATTTAAAATTCAGGTTGGATAGACTCAACGTCGTATTATGGTTCCTGTGGATTTACTTTAATTTTCTTCAACTGCAATTTGAACTTGCACATGAGTAATTGATGGTCTGTTCCACAGTCAGGACCTAGCCTGATTTTGACTGCTGATGAGGGCTGTATGCTCTCTCCATACCTATTCAATCTGTACGCTAGACTTTTTGAAGAAGAATGTGGCCTCAGGATTGGAGGAAGATTCATCAACAACCTGTATTAATGAAGAGGTCATGACCTTGCTTGCTAAAAATAAGGAGGTTTTGAAGTGCTTGCTGCAGAGGATCAAGGGCTGCAGGCTTCAGTATGGATTACATCTCAACATCGAGCTCCTTTGGAAGGTGTTGTTGTTGTTGTTGTCATCATTATGTGCCATTGAATCACCTGCAACTCATAACAACCTTATGTACAACAAACAGCTCTGAAGCCTGCCCTGCCCTGCACCAGTCTCACTGATTATGACACACCTACCCCCATTGCCCCAATTACTGAATCACAAAGCTGGCAACAGTGATGTAAAAGGAGACCTCATTGGGTGACTATGAATTACTTTATGATTCGATGAAACTCACGTCAAGGTGGAGA